AGGGGACAAACCGGATTCGTAATCACGCGTGCGTTATAGGTACATATCAATATCTATGTATGATTTATATTGATGATCGTTTATCAAAGGCTAATAATTAATTGAACTTGCTAGATGCATTTACTAGAGCACCGTTCGATTTGAGCATAAACAAACCTTGGTTCGTGAGTGCGAATTTCTTGTTTTGTTTAAATAATTGCAAATCATTGAAGTCGTCGTGGCCTAAAGGATAAAACGACCGGTGCATTCGTATGTAGCGATGCACCGGTGTTCGAATCTCGCAGGCGGGTACCAATTTTTCTAATGAAATACGTACTCGACAAACGTTCACGATTGTCTTCCACGGTGAAGGAATAACGTCGTGTAATAAAAATCAAACCCGCAAAATTATAATTTGCGTAATCACTGGTGGTAGGGCGTCTTGTGAGTCCGCACGGGTAGATACCACCGCCCTGCCTATTTCTGCCGTGAAGCAGTAATGCGTTTCGGTTTGAAGGATGGGGCAGCAGTTGTAACTATACTGAGACCTTAAAACTCATATCTCAAGGTGGGTGGCGGCATTTACGTTGTAGATGTCTATGGGCTCAGGTAACCACTACACCAGGTGGGCTGTGAGCTCGTCCACACATCAAGCCTTGCGACAGGCACTTTCAACATAATTTAACTCTGTAGATATTATTATAGAACAATAACATTTCGAGATTATATACAAGTCTCATTTCTTTGTCCTGTCAAGAACTCTTCGATTTCTTTGCTTAGTAAGATAAACTCATAACGATAAAATCAGTGTTCATATACAATACATACCTATACAATTGTTTATACCCGATTACGTACAGTGAAAAAACGGTTTCTAGTTAATTTCTAGTTGCATTTCATTGGAATTACAATTTCTGACATTCCCAATGCCAATCCATCCATTTTGTCGCGTGTAAAATCCATAAAAGCCATTAAAGTAAGCGAAACATCGGAGAGTGTTAGATTAATAAAAATGCAAGGTTAGATCATCATATTGCTTTTGACTATCTGTGACTCCTGTCTGGGACTCCATTTTTTTTTATTGCTTAGATGGGTGGACGAGCTCACAGCCCACCTGGTGTTAAGCGGTTACTGGAGCCCATGGACATCTACAACGTAAATGCGCCACCCACCTTGAGATATAAGTTCTAAGATCTCAGTATAGTTTACAACGGCTGCCCCACCCTTCAAACCGAAACGCATTACTGCTTCACGACAGAAATGGCAGGGTGGTGGTACCTACCCGCGCGGACTCACAAGAGGTCCTACCACCAGTAATAAATATATAAATATAAATCCTGAAAATAGCATCATGCTATTACAAAAGTTCTTAGTCAAAACATCGAATTGTCGTAAGCTGATAGTTAACAACTGTATATGTTATCTAGTTTTTCAACAGCTCGGCCAAATAACCTGATGTCGTCAAATGGACGGCCGATGTCATTGTAAAAAGGCGGATGTTAGGTAAACCATTGTTTAAGCAATAACATTGTCAAAGTGAAAATCTTACGACAGTTGTGTACGTCTTCAGGTTTTATAGCCAGAGGTTCGTAAAATTGAAAATAACGTCGGACCAAGGTACAGGTGTGCAATTAAGACTTTCTTAAAGTCATAACATTTTCGCACGATCTATTCGCAGTATCCACAGCTTAGTTTTCTACAAAATGTAATTCGAATTTCGATTCCGATTTCCAAAATTCGAATCATTAGTACTGGGTGAGATACAAGTGAAAAAGTAATATAATATATTGACAATAAAATAAAATAAAACAGTCTGAGCCGTAAAAGTAGGGTAAAGTGTGCTTTATTGTACACAAAAAAAAACACAAATGCCAAAAATTAAATACAAATGTATAATGGGTAGTCTAGTCAGTCTTATGGCTAAGAGCGATCTCTTCGGTGGACAATAATCATTTTAGGAAATAAATTGAATGCGGTGTACTTATCGAAAATATATATAAATATGAACGATAAAATCAGATTTAACGATATCTGAGATTCGCATAAACCGAAGAAAAAACTAAAGTATCGTTCCTCATGATAATAAAGAGGATTCAAACCAGTCAGCAGCAAATAGCAGATTGACCGTCATTTTTCTTTATTTTTATACAAACATACTGATCCTAGAACCCAAATAGTGAGACCAGACCGGTAGGTACCAACGACAACCCTGCTTTTTCTGCCGCGAAGCATACCTATACCTCCGCATTTACATTGTTATATCTATGGGCTCCCCTGGTAACAAGATACGCCGTGAATACATTCACCTATCTTACTAATAAAAAACAAGAAATGATAAATTTAATAAAAATAAACACCGATTAAAAATATCTAAACTTGATTAAAAGAGATTAAAAGATTTCAAGAACAACTTGTTTGCACTTTCGAATTTACATAAAGAGCATTGGCACATTTTCACTTTTGTTACGTTTAACACATCATGGAGATTAAATTAGATTAGATTAGAATTATTCAAATAAAAATGAAGATACGCAATGTAATTTAGATTTATTAACCATATGCTGTAAATCCCTTTTTACTGGTGGCAACGGCATCTAATTTTGTTTGTGAAACCCCCATTACTCTTATGATCGATATTTCGATACGTATTCTTGTTGGGCATCCCTCATTTCTATTGCAGAGCACTAGTCCATAGGTAGAGGGGCAGTGCGAGTTTCAAGCTACATAAAAATCTCCATTACTCATATGATCGATATTTCGATATGTATTCTTGTTGGGCATCCCTCATCTCTATTGCAGAGCACTAGTCCATAGGTGGAGGGGCAATACGAGTTTCAAGCTACATAAAAATCCCCATTACTCATATGATCGATATTTCGATATGTATTCTGGTTGGGCATCCCTCATCTCTATTGCAGAGCACTAGTCCATAGGTGGAGGGGCAATACGAGTTTCAAGCTACATAAAAATCCCCATTACTCATATGATTGATATTTCGATATGTATTCTTGTTGGGCATCCCTCATCTCTATTGCAGAGCACTAGTCCATAGACGGAGGGGCAGTGCGAGTTTTAAGCTACATAGAAATCCCCATTACTCATATTATTATGATCGATATTTCGATACGTATTCTTGTAGGGCATCCCACATCTCTATTTCAGTGCAAGGGCAATGAGATCGGGCTGTATCTATAGCATTGATACTGGCAATTAAACAGGATTAAAAAAACAACAACAAATAATAAACCCAGTTAAAGATCTCGTTACAGTAAACTAGTTAATGAATAAAACATAACTCGAAATAGATTCAAGAAGGTCAAATGCAAGATCGTTACAGAGAAACAAAAAATATTTAACATTATGTAGCGTTTATGTAAAAATCTTATTATCATGATGTCAGTGAAATCTGATCGCGATCCGCTATGACTATCGCTCACTGTATGAACATCCCGTGAATTTTCAAAAGTTTTTGTTACATACAAACCGGTCTTGACAATGATGACAAACAAAAAATTAATGAACTAAAATCGTTGAGTCGTTCTCAAGCGCCGCTCTGTGCTACATGTGGCAATTGATTTGTATATATGTATGTATATTTATAAATTTAATTTATTCGCGAGAAAAACCAGGTACCTCTGTAATTATTCATTTATTCAACAGATAATCCATAAGGTAGTTGTGTATTTTTATATTCTCTACGAAAATGTGACTTTTATCTAAGCATTTTAAATTTTATGCATTTTTTAAGCCCCGATATAGGTTTTTTTTTTGCTTAGATGAGTGAAAAAGCTCACAGCTCACCTGGTGTTAAGTGGTTACTGGAACCCTTAGACATCTACAACGTAAATGCACCACCCACCTTGAGATATAAGTTCTAAGGTCGCAAGTATAGTTACAACGGCTGCCCCACCCTTCAAACCGAAACGCATTACTGCTTCACGGCAGAAATAGGCAGGGTGGTGGTACCTACCCGTGCGGAATCACAAGAGGTCCTACCACTAGTAAAAACAGGGTAGAGCAGGGTATCAACCTTAAAAGTTCAGCTTTTAGAATCTTCCTTGCGGCCTTATTGGTTAGACGGCTCGAGATTTTATATATTTTCTTACGAGCATACGGCTCACCTGATGGTAAGTGGTTACCGTCCCTCATGAACATCAGCAACGCCAGGGTCTCAACTAAGCCGCTGTCAACCGTAAATGTGTAGGTATATGTAATTGTTTAAATAAATAATAATAATCGGAGTCAAATTACAGACGGTAATTTGGCCCCAAATTAGGATTCTCTTGTTATATTTGTGTAATTACGGGCAGATAACAGCTTAATCAATATTTGGAAGATGAATGGCGTCAGTCGCGTTGAACTTCGGTAATCACCCTGGGCCACTGCCAAATTGACCTTGTGAGATCATCTACTAATATTAGGTACATATTTGGAATAGCCCCTTCGGCTAGCAACGGTTAGGTAGCGAAAATAAAGAGGCTGTCTCGTCGAACCAACTATGATACCGTAAGTCATTAAATTTATATAGATCTATCTATGGATGTGTAGACTCTTAATTTTTCATGAAAATCATGTGTACAACTGCAGATTGCCTCGCGTTCGAAATAGTACAGCAATATTGATTGATATTTATTGAGTTTGTTGAATATGTAACAAGACACTAAAGTCAGGTATATGTAGTTTATGAAGATATCCAATCCTACTTTTTACCATCGCACCGGCCGCCAGCGGAGTAGAGTTCATCCATACTACCTGGAGACACTGCGGCCAACCACAGTGCGTTTCCAGTGAACTTTTTTGCCAAGTACTATCTGGCTTTGGGATGAACTCCCCTCCGTGGTGTTTCCCGAGCGCTATAACATGTCCTTCTTCAAACGAGGCTTGTGGAGAGTATTAAGCAGTAGCCAGCGGCTTGGCTCTGCCCCTGGCATTGCTGAAGTGTCCATGGGCGACGGTAACCACTCACCAACAGGTGGGCCGTATACTCGTCTGCCTACAAGGGCAATAAAAATAACACTCACTTGAGCTGCAGCGACTCTTGTCTCCCAAGCTGGCGAGCGGAGATGTGTCATCAGTCTGCCGAGGAGCCGGTGTAACTCCTCGGGATGGGCTTTCTGGACCTCGCCGAGCTGCCTCGCCGCCGCTCGCCTTGTAGCCGAGCCCGCACCGGCCTCCAGCAAGACGAAAAGACGATCCAATCTGTTTACAATAATTTAGTCATGTAAATATGGGCACAAACGTCACCATTGGCAGTAATTAACATAATAATATATTGTTTAGTTTATTCTATGTTAATATTTATTTATTATTAGCAACAAAATTGTTATTTTACAATATTTAATAATTAGCAGACACTGTTTTGATGTGAAAATGTTCAGAATATGTTTAATGTTTATATTATTGTTTAAAAGCACAAATGACTGTATAAATGATTAAATATGAATAAAGCATAAATATTAATAATAATTTATAATATAATTAACAGTACTAATAATTTAATTAAGTAATGTAATTGTTATGCAATGATGTTGTTGGCGCCATCTATTATTAGGCTGGATAATAACAATGTTAGTTAATATTACTTAAAAGTAATTCATGTAAAATAAATTAAATGTCAGTCATGTAAAAATCACTAAAATATGTATTGTGAATATTAAGCTATATTTTGTGAATTGTTCCGCAGTAATTACATTTGTTTGTATAAAAGAAGTTGTAGTTGCTATAACCAACACAAAATGGCTAATTGTGTAAGAATTACTGAATAACTCAGGCGTGGCTTTTTGTTGTAAACAAGTAATGTTAAAGTTTTATAGAATTGTATTGTATTTTCATTGTAAAAGAACTTATGTGTGAAAACCCTGGCTTAACGCCGACATACGTCGCTTGCGACGAAGGGCTCGGCGAGTAAACTAACCCACAGACACAGCCCACTGAGTTTCTCGCCGGATCTTCTCAGCGGATCGCGAGGGACCTGGAAAGATTCCGATCCGGTGGTATATTCTGTGAAGCACTGCTCTTCCTAGAGTCAGTGTTCGCAACTTCGCCAGGTTTGAACCTCGTGAGCTCACCTACTCGTCCGGTAACCTCCCAAGCCTATATAGCCTATATAGCCAGATATAGCTTCCCAAGGCTATCAGTATAGGAGAAAAAAAAAAACGAAAGCAGAAATTTCTCATGTCCGTTGGTATTAGTCGCGTACAAAAATGTATATTGTGATATTTAGCTTCAAAAGACAATTAAGCATAATTATATTAAAAAAAGCAATAAAATTTAAAGTTCACTTAGTGACTAAACAATTGTATTGAACACTTGTACAAATAACTGGATGCATATTCTTCTATGCGACATACAACACGCACACGTCGGCAATAATTACACAATATCACACAAAGTAAATACTGCTGTTAATAAAAAAGAATAGATTATATACATTTTTATGGAATGTAGCAAATACAATATTGGGCTAATATTCTGAAGACCAGTATGAGGAGGAATTCATTTGAGTCTTTGAAGTCATTTTTCTTGGTGAATATTACTTTGAAATGATATGAAATACAGGAATATTTTTTGTCAGTTGCACAATTACTTACTACATTATCTAAAAAAACTTTTGTTTTTCATGTTTCTTGTCTTTAGTTCGAGAATCATTTTCACATAATTATAGGCCCGCTCATGAGTGGATTTTAAGTTATTGCGCTCGCATACCTGTCAATCAATACTATTTTTGAAATAATTAACTGATATATCATAATATATATAAATTACGTGTCACGTTGTTTGTCCGCGATGGAGACCTAAACTACTGAACCGATTTTAATGTTTTTTTTAAAATATGTGTTTTGTTCTAACTTAGGCCATACTCATAGGATGGTTTTTACTTGATCAATGGTTGCAATATTTAATAATTAACAATAAAATGGTATGTTGATTATTGTTATTAATTGTAGGTTTCATAAGTCTAAAACAGATGACGCCTTAAATCGGTTTTTACAGACAATTTTCATACTGTTGTACATTAATATCTCATAGATAGCGCTGTGTTAAAAATACCAACGTTTCACATAAGCTACAATTTAATGGCATAAACACCACGTGTTGCTGACGCTAAGGTATAAGTGAAATTTATTTCGTAGTAAACGCAATACAGTGAAATCCAATTGTTCTTACTTTGTTAATTTTTAGTATTAGCATAGCCGGCCACGTGTTATTTAGAAACAAAAACCTTAGCTACAGCAACGTGTGGCCGGGCCTGCTTGTTTTTATGTATATTTGTTCATTCAGAATCACACAGAAACGAATGAATAGCTTCTTATGAAACTAGTGGCAGAGGTGGCATTGTGGGTTAAAACAACTAAAAGATATGGTTCGGCGGCACCTGCACCAGTGCGAGTGGCAGAAATATAAAAACAAAATTCACTTCAAGTTTGTAACAATAAAACTGCAATGGACAATATACAATATAACAATATACGGTGATATTGACACAGTATAATATACGTACAAAATGTACGTAAGTACATATATCCAACTGAAGCTTAATACAAAAAGCCATAACAATGAAAGTCTGAACGAGAGAAGTGCGAAATTAATTAATTTTCAGCTAAACAGTGAAACAAGTGAATGGCAATTTATACAATAAACCAACATCATCCCGATAAATTGACACTGAACTGAATTAGGTTAACTTCATTCAATAAAGTATTGTTGTGAAGTTGTAATCATACAAAATACCCCAATAATATTTCTTTTATTAAAATAGTAGCAAGGTACGCACGGGTAGGTACCACCACACTGCCTATTTCTGCCGTGAAGCAGTAATGCGTTTCGGTTTGAAGGATGGAGCAGCCGTTGTAACTATACTTGAGACCTTAGAACTTATATCTTAAGGTCGGTGGCGCATTTACGTTGTAGTTGTTTATGGGCTCCAGTAACCACTTAATAGGTAGGCTGTGAGCTCGTCCACCCAACTAAGCAAAAAAAAAAAAGAAAAACAGACAGACCTGTGCTGGGCACTGAACAAGTCCGCAAGAGAAACAAGAGAATTTTAAAAGGATACTTAAAAGCCGATTGTAGATATTTAAATATTCTATTGATTTCTCACATCTTACCGAATCGAGGGGAATATGAAAGAAGTAATTGCGGCACGAACTGAAAATACCTATTTAAAAAAATCGAAAGTGTTCTTTTATAGATACGAGTAGGTACATAGCATACAAAACGGAGAAGAAAAAAACAAGTTGCTATTGTACGTAAAAGTATTTTTTACTTTGTAATTCAAAGTATTTTCATTGTTCAAAGATAGTACATATGAGTCGTCTATTATCAAAGGTGGCAATCTGTGCATTTGGACAAAAAATTTTTATTGATATGTCAATACAGATTGATTTGAATATAATCGTCTCCTTCAAAGAATACGATTCAAAACCTGCATTAAATAAAGGTTAATAGTTAACCTTTTATTTATCTAAGATGTCTTTCCGAAGAGTTTTGTGACTGCCAATGGAATACAAAGTCAATAATTCGTTTTTCTGATTTACCAATCATTGTCCAAAAGTCAGATTACCGGCATTGATAATAGTCGACTCATATAATATATTTCTATTTATTACTGTATGACTAAACTCAAATGTTTTACAGATTGCGCCGTTTTGCTAATAAGTGTTCTTTCCATCCTGTACGTCAATTCAGAAACCACGTTGTATTGTTATAAAGCCAATCGGTTACGGTTACCGCCTACGAACAGGTGGGCTGGTATATCTATTGTCAATAACGATCTTTATTGGTAATAAAATCGGCTTTAATAGAGAGCGCTTCGAAGAGCGTGACTGAAGTCACATTAGCCCGTTAATGGATCCGCACTGACGCAAGTTCACAGAATAATTATAATTTGCGTAATTACTGGTGGTAGGACCTATTGTGAGTACGCGCGGGTAGGTACCACCACCCTGCCTATTTCTGCCGTGAAGCAGTAATGCGTTTCGGTTTGGAGGGTGGGGCAGCCGTTGCAACTATACTTGAGACCTTAGAACTTATATCTCAAGGTGGGTGGACGCATTTACGTCGTAGATGTCTATGGGCTCCAGTAACCACTTAACACCAGGTGGGCTGTGAGCTCGTCCACCCATCTACGCAATAAAAAATAAATAAAAAAGCAGCAGCCTAGCGCTGAAGACTCTTTTCGAACTTTGTTTAAAGAAAGACAAGTCAAACTTTTTACAATTTTTCATATCAAACTTCATTCGTTGATAGAAAAAAGCCCACTGAGTTTCTCGCCGGATCTTCTCAGTGGGTCGCGATCCCGATCCGGTGCCGCAGTGGTAGACTCTGCGACGCACTGCTCTTGCTAGGGCTAGTGTTAGAAAATTCTCTCAGGTTAAGCTCGTAAGCTCACTTTACCCGCGCGGGCGTAGCTGGGATAGCTCATTAACCTACCAGCGAATAGGTAGGAAAAAAAGTTATAACAATCATAATTCTTTTTTTCTTAAAAAAACAACATGATACATTAGAACTTAATTTTGTTATGAAACTTAATTAAAAGTTAGACCTATGGCGTATTGTATGATGGTGTAGCGGTGTAAAAGGACATGAAAACAATTTCCGCAATTAGATTTGAAAGGAAACGACAAAAATTAAGTTTGTGACTTGTTACAGCTCTCCGGAAGTTTGCTTTTCATGATACGAATTTTATCTTATGATTGCATTACGACAGCAAAATAATCTCTAAACAAAATGTAATGTGTTCTTAACAATGTATTCTATCGCACTAAAATTAATATGCTTTTCACAATGAGTAGTGAATTCATAACTGTAATTGCATCGAACGAAGAAAAGTTAGGAATTCCTGGTTACAAATAGTGATGTCAGCAAATAAACCTTTAAATACTATTATCGATCGCTACCAAACTCTACCTAAATCTACCTTGCTGAAAATTTTATCGAAATCAGTCCAACCGTTTCGGAATCTATAGGGGAAAGAGAATACATTTTTTTTATTGCTTAGATGGGCGAACGAGCTCACAGCCCACCTGGTGTTAAGTGGTTACTGGAGCCCATAGACATCTACAACGTAAATGCGTCACCCACCTTGAGATATAAGTTCTAAGATCTCAGTATAGTTACAACGGCTGCCCTACCCTTCAGACGGAAACGCATTACTGTTTCACGGCAGAAATAGGCGGGGCGGTGGTACCTACCCGCGCGGACTCACAAGAGGTCCTACCACCAGTGAAACATCGAATTATATATTTATTATATACATATATGTTTAATGATTGATAGATAAATAGATAGACTAGTAAAACCCGGTCACGATAGCAATCTATATTTGTATGAAATGCGTCGATTTCTTGAAGCTACTACTCTGACGAAAGTTACGGTACTATGATAGAAACTATCCTTTTTCATAATTGAAAGATTACTGGTGGCCCGGAGGCCTTTCCAATTTCACCAGGACAGGTGGCCGAGCAAAGGTTCAACCAGGAGGGGAAATTATCCCTGGAATGCCAACAGCAACACCAAATTTGTTTGCAATCGGATAGTATCGCATAGTTTAGAAGAGGATCGACGACAAATATTCTTTTTTTAGTTTTATATATACATCGATAAGTGCATAAACAAAATGACATAACGTATATAAGTAACATAACATAATATATCATTGCGACTTATCTTAGTAGTGTTAAATGTACTATAAATATCTATTAATATGTAAATGAGAACATAGTGATACTTACCGCGACTTCATGATGACAAGCCGGTCTTGTTCAAAAGTTCACTGCAACAAAAAATATGTTGAAAGACGCATTGTGAAAATTTATCATCAAGAGATCATTTTGGGTCAATAAAGACATTTTAAAATTAGGTTAACTGTTTTTATTTTATCTTTTATAATTACGACTATTAATTCGAATTTATAACCGATTTTTTCTAATTCTTAACATAACTATGGATGGATCGCTTGTGTATTTACCTTAAAAACTAATCAAATACGACAGTCACGCTTCGTTCTAATAAATACATACAAAAAGTTACCATTTTACCTCTAGTTAATCTGTTAAGCATTCAAGCACAGAGGTATAACATGATCCGTGAATTATTAATACATAATATAGATACTTCCTAAGCGAACATCATAAGCGATTTAGATATTCCAACGTTTTGTTGATGTGGTAATCACTTAACACTCCATTAAGATAATAGTCTTTCCATCAACGGCCAAACATCGCCTTTTACTTTTTTTTATTGCTTAGATGGGTGGACGAGCTCACAGCCCACCTGGTGTTAAGTGGTTATTGGAGCCCATAGACATCTAGAACTTAAATGCGCCACCCACCTTGAGATATAAGTTCTAAGGTCTCAAGTATAGTTACAACGGCTGCCCCACCCTTCAAACCGAAACGCATAACTGCTTCACGGCAGAAATAGGCAGGGTGGTGGTACCCACCCGCGCGGACTCACAAGAGGTCCTACCACCAGTAATTACGCAAATTATAATTTTGCGGGTTTGATTTTTATTACACGATGTTATTCCTTCACCGTGTAAGTCAATCGTGAACATTTGTTGAGTACGTATTTCATTAGAAAAATTGGTACCCGCCTGAGGGATTTGAACACCGGTGCATCGCTTCAACACGAATGCACCGGACGTCTTATCCTTTAGGCCACGACGACTTACTGGTAACAAAGCATACTGTAAACCTGTACAACATTTACACTATACAATCGAACCTTCGATTCCTTATCACAAGGAGTATGTAGGTGTTCCTATTATGATTTTAGATGCAGATTAGCATCCATGTACGGAATACATATATAAAAAAAAGGCTGCGTGTACTTATGTACGCGCGTAAGAAGTTATACTTTATTTTTATTAAATTTATTTCTTTTTATTTATTTAAATTTTAATCAATTTGAAAAAAAAAATCGCTTAAACAACATCCTCAAACACGCATATTGGACATCCCTTTTCTTGAAATCGTATAAATTCGGTAATTCTCGGTACGGTTCGGAAAGTTCACCTGCGGCTACATTCAGACTCGCCAAGTTACGTCGGTCGTATTGTATTGAGCGATTTAGTGGGCAACTTCATTCTGTTAATTTTGTGTCACGGTGCGCGCGCATCATAAAATGTCACTTCACAATTTACCAGTACTAAAGCGAGATCGTTCCAATTGAATAATTAACAAAGCGATCGTTTGTTAGTTAGTTCGTGACGTGTTATCGACGGGCCCGCCGCGCCGCGCTTGTTGGACACCTGCGGTACGTGTACACAGGCGAGAGCTTCGATCGAGGGGCGCGATGTATGTATGTATGTACATAGCTTTAGTCGGTGTAAATATTTAGATTTGTTTATTCTCGTGGTAATGATCGTTGGTAATTTTCCACGATTATTCGTACGCTAGTTCGGGTTTCATTACGAATTTCAAATGTTTTACGTGCAAGAAGAAATAAAAAAAAATTTTTTTTTCGCAAATTTCTGCAGATTTTTTTATAGCTTAGATGGGTGGACGAGCTCACAGCCCACCTGGTGTTAAGTGGTTACCGGAGCCCATAGACATCCACAACGTTAATGCGCCACCCACCTTGAGATATAAGTTCTAAGGTATCAAGTATAGCTACAACGACTGCCCCACCCTTCAAACCGAAACGATTACTGCTTCACGGCAGAAATAGGCAGATACCTATGTGTGATACACGTACGTATATGTGTAACATGCACTTTTAGTTTGTGCTATCTAGACTTTTTAGGAACCATTCAAATAGCTCAATCCGAGTTATTTTCCTCTCATTGTATAACACGAAATATATCTGCATATTATTATTACCTGATTATACATATCAATCAATACGTTCTGAATCTGCATTATCATCGACCGAAAATCCTTAAAATCTGCGCTCCACAATAAGATACGCCTGATTGACAGATCCAACAAAAGAAAGTTTTCTCAGATAACACGAGTCCATAAAACGTTGACATAATTTTATTTTTGGGGCCGACGCTTCTTATCGCAAGTGCAATATAAAATAAACGGCCTAGTTACACACGATTCGCGATTATATCGTTCCGCTATGTAACACATATATATCGGAAAATGTTGTTATAATCATATATTTTAAATGGTTCATTAGCCATATGAGCGAAGCGAACATTTATAGCTTCTTTGGAGACATAGTACGCCGGTGACTTTCTTTTTTTTAACTTTTTTTTGTACTTAACACTGAGGGTTTCGATATTAACATTTTTCTAACTTCATTAAACTAATCGAAACTATTATTATTCACTTTTTTTTTCGGACATGTTTTAAAAAATCTACAATCATTCAAATTGATCAAATCTTTTTTTTTGTGAACTGTAATGCAAGAAGCACAGATAGATAGTAATCATAATCAATCAAATCAAATCACTAACATTCAGATTTAATCAGGTTACTCGAGATTACCAAAACGATTCTTCAATGACGTAGTGGACCCGGTGATGTATTAAAATAAATCGTGTTCAAATTAAATTATGTAAGGCACCATAAAAATTAGCATATTCGTGAACGGAACTATGTCATTATCGCAGGAACGCATATACCGCAGCTACAGGGAAATCCGTATTGCTATTTACAAAACCGGATGTTAAACAATAACCCTAGATTGTTTAGGCTTTCATTCTAATATTTAGAGACCGTGTTTTAATAGTTACAGGCAAAATAATGCAGACGATTATCGTATCAAAATTCTCTGCTTATAACTTCAAATTTTTAAAAAAAATTCTTTTTTTGTGTTGCCTGCAATATACGGGTCACATCGACGACTTTCATCTCGAAACCAAAGGATCATTGAAATAATTCTATCGATTTTGTGAATCGAGACTTGTTTTACGTAAATAAATCTTATTCACAATATTTTATTCTGCCCGATTTCGTTCTCATTGGTTGTTTAATAAAATTTAAGTTGAGTTAATAAATGAGATTAAACTAATTAAAACTCGAACCTCTTTGTTTATGCACTAATGATAACAACACTTGAAAAGCACGCAAATAATATATTTAATTGACATCACTAATTTTGCACGAATTTCGATACTTATATTAATTTAAACTAATTGTTGATTAAATAATTTTATTATATCTACTTAATTAATAGTTGTCACCTGGCCTCATTTTTCGATCTACGTTTAATTAAAACATATTATTATCGGATACAGAATTTCTGAAAATCACAAACATGAGAACGAATTGGAAAATAATATGTTTCGTTTATAAATGTTTTTTTCTCTCATAAAATCGAAAATCGGCTCAACGAAACGCGTCTAGTCATATCCGGCGTCATTGTAAGACTGCTTAGCTGGGGCGGCGGGAAATGGGCCGGGCCCCGACGAACTCACCCTTACACAAGGTGAATACCGGGAGACCCAATTGGAGATGTATTTATTAATATAATTAACATCTCGATCTTTGTATATTAGAAACAAAACATATTATATGTCATGCATGTAAATGTAGCCATGTTAAATTTAATAATTGGCAGAGTTAAATTTTAACAACTATTAGGTATGCTCTTTCTGATGTTCACAGCAGAATAGTTTATTTGAATAGCTAAGTTTTCTACGCATGATTTTACATAAATTAGCAAATGGCATTAAAAATGTTTCAGTATCACAACAAAATGTTCATAACAACCACTAAAGATGGGAAGTATGCTTGTATGTAAGAATGTATGCTTAGGTGTCTCACGTATTAACCAAACTTTTAATGGCTATTAATGAAACAATATGTCGATACTTTTTTGTTATTTGACAACTAACACCCACATTATTTCTTTATTATCGGAATCAATTTATAATATTCTAGTAGGTAAAGGTCTGGTTTAAATTTTGTTAGCTCCACATGAGGTAGGCAGCGGCTTGGCTCTGCCCCTGGCATTGCTGAAGTCCATGGGCGACGGTAGCCACTCACCATCAGGGTTATTACTGGTGGTAGGACCTCTTGTGAGTCCGCGTGCGTAGGTACCACCACCTTGCCTATTTCTGCTGTGAAGCAGTAATACGTTTCGGTCTGAAGGGTAGGGCAGCCGTTGTAGCTATACTGAGATCTTAGAACTTATATCTCGAGGTGGTTGGCGCATTTACGTTGTAGATGTGTATGGGCTCCAGTAATCACTTAACACCGGGTGGGCTGTGAGCTCGTTCGCCCATCTATGCAAAAAATAAATAAAATAAACAGCTGGTCCTGAATTATAGTTTCACTGAATTTGAACAGGAGATGTTAGATTTCAGTGATAATGAGAGATTTCATTTGGATAATTTGGACATTTTAAGACAGATGAGGAGACAAACTCACAGCTCTCCTGGTTTTTTTAACCTGGAGATACAATAGACAACAATGTGGCTCTCACCACCCTTCTTAAAACATTATCTCAAAGTCATAATTATATAAGAGTAACAGCTATCTAACTCTTATAGAAGTCTGCATGATTGTTTATTAGTAGAAATAGACCGGTAGTACAGACTATAATAATATGATCTGGCCACTATTCTAATAAAGAAATTGTGTGGGCATTTGAAGTGTGAAATTTGTGCTCAACACCGCAATAGAAATAACAGATCCTTGCCTAGTGCTGTATTCCAAGTTAGTGGTAAATTAAAAATCCATTTTGTTTTTTTCGTTCTACAATCTGCCCTAGCATGCCCAAAATTTATGCAAAATATCAAACTTATACCTCTGTAAAGAAGCACATTAAACTCTCCATATTTAATTTACTGAAGTAGTTAAAATCCTCATCATTTTCTTAAATTAATTCATAAACATATCTTAGACTAGTTACAGACACCAATTTAAAACAACACTTAATTATAAGTTGTAGACTTTATATAAAATATATTACCAATAATAAAGGAAAAACCAAATAATGGAGATAAAAGCTACTTATATATTAAACTCAAGTTACAAATAGCATTGACAAGTATTGTTCCATTTCCATTAGCTTCTGTAATGAATGGTGTTAGGTTTCTCAATAGTATAGAATAGGGAATTGGTGCCTAATTATTTTGATAAAATAACAAATCTAAGTAAATATAGTAGTACAATTCAATGTCAGTAAAAAAGATAATAAAAAAAAATTGTTGTATTTTTTATTTCGTATTTTTTTATTCTTATACATTTTTAGGTTACCATTTATTTATACACTCAGGGCATGTGTTCAAAGCTTTTTATTGTTATTATCTTTGTGTATGATTTTGATTATTTAATTTGATAAGCCAGATAACAATTTTACATTCTACAATTTTTTAAGGTAAATTAATAATTAAACAGTGTAATTGACTATTAAGTACTAGTTTAAAAACTCAATAATATCAAATATACACATTTGGAATGTTGGTAATGTTATTTGTTTGATTTTTGTGTTTATTGTACGCATTCGTAAATATTATGTTTTATTGATTTACCTCCGCATTGGTTCACCGTCAGCGGGAAAGTAGGCAACGTTCATTTCTCTTATTACTAGTTAACAAAATTCGACTGACAGAAATGGACTTTTGTTAGATCAAAAACGTATAAAGCACAGTAACGGTATGCGTGTGTGACTATCCTTTCACGCGTGCTAACATATGGCCCTGGTTACGCGAATGTATCAATTAACTCCAATTAGTACACCCCAGATCACATCCAAAGACCTTTGAATGTGACCTTGGACCACCTAAATTAAATTGTGACGAAAGCCTTGTACGTAGACAGATCTCAATAGATTTTTCTGTGCTATTTATCTTGTTATTTTTATAGACCTCATTCCTTAGACTTCCATCGCGAAATTATATTACTCACCTTGCACAAACAAGCTAATATCAGGTCACTCCACCCAAATCTTTCCATATTCCATGCCACACAAGATCACACACGATATCATTTTCGTTAAAATGCACAAACAAAAAAAACCAACGTGACGAGAGGAAGCGCATCGTTCAAGCTTCAAATTTATACTGACAGCCATGCTGCTGATGAGTCCGTCTTTATTGTGGACTTGTGCGCTGATTGGCTCCGCGCATCCTGATAAATAAAATTAAGTGCAAGTCTTGGCCAATAGTGTATTCGCATTTCAAAAATTCTTGATTTCACGCCAAAAACTAGTGCAACGTCGATAGCGTTTTATTATTTAAAAATTCAAAATCCAATAAATTTCGGAAACAACATATATATTTTATTCAGTTTATTAAAAAAATGTGAAAATAATTCCTCTCGTCGTTATATTAAATAGGTTTATTTGTTTTTTTAGCCTATCAATCTGTAATCTTCCCATATTTCAATAGCAAAACGCTATAGAAATAATTTGACATTATTAGAAACGACATTTGTGACATTGAAGTTTGTTTGTATTTTATTTGCCGATTTTAGGTTACCTACTTGTCAAATATCTACCACGCATTAGTGATTTTCAGTAATTGTTATAGGATTAAAGAATCATAATATCCTATGATATTCTTTTTTTGTCAAGCAAGATTCTCTAAGAATTAGTGCTATTAGCTGTGAGTACTTCTTCTATCAGACCTAACAGAAAACAACATGGGGAAAAGGAAAAACAAAAATCAAGTCCGAAAGAAAAAAGTAACTCTTGTATTTGATGAGGCCAAAAGAAAGTATGTAAAAGCATTTTAAATAATTGAGGTGTAATATTGTGGTTTTATTTACTAGAATAATATTTTATTTTTAGAGACTTTCTATGTGGTTTTCGTAAAAGAAAATTGGAGAGAAAAAAGAAAGCACAAGAAGATTTACAAAGGCTTTTGAAAGAAGAGAAACGACGGATTAAGCAAGAGGTAAATTTTAGTTCGAATCTCAGGCGCGTACCAATTTTTCTAATGAAATACGTACTCAACAAATGTTCACGATTGACTTACATGGTGAAGGAATAACTACGTGTAATAAAAATCAAACCCGCAAAATTATAATTTGCGTAATTACTGGTGGTAGGACCTCTTGTGAGTCCGGGCAGGTAGGTACCACCACCCTGCCTATTTCTGCCGTGAAACAGTAATGTGTTTCGGTTTGAAGGACGGGGCAGCCGTTGTAACTATACTGAGACCTTAGAACTGATATCTCAAGGTGGGTGGCGCATTTACGTTGTAGATGTCTATGGGCTTCAGTAACCACTTAACGCCAGGTGGGCTGTGAGCTCTTCCACCCATCTAAGCAATAAAAAAAAAGAAGTAAATATCATTAATTTCATTTTCAGAATAAAGAATCTTACAAAAAACTAGTTGTTTCCAGTCGTCCTTTACCTGATATAGAGCAATTGCTGAAAGAAGAATATGAAGATGATGATGCAGATGTTAAAGTAAAAATTGTAGAATTATCTTCAGACACATTACAAAAAAAAGATCTAGTTATTGGTGAAAATAGACCAAAAATATTACCTGAAAAAAAGGAAACTAAAAAAAATGATCAGTCTGACAAAAATACAAATCATATTCCTGGTATGGGATCTGATGTGGAGAGTGCTGAGCCATCCGATGAAGAAGAAACTCAAACAGAAGGCTTAAAAACTAAAAAAGAGATAAAGAAAATGCTTAAAAAACAAGCAACTAAGAAAATTCAGAAGAGCAAAGTTTTTAAGATGAAAAGTAATATGGAAAGGGTTCAGAACAAGAAAAAATCTCAGCAAAAGAAAAGGCATATGACTGGTAAAAGTGATCCACGGAAAGCTAAAGGAAAAAAGAAAATTGGGAGGCGAAAACAATAAAGAAATAAATTATGCTGAATATATAATTTTTATTTCTTAAAAATTCACACTTAATGATGTAGATAACATGTTTAATTATTATAAACTTACAGATGTTATTTTAGTGCTGACCGTGTTCTAATTTTTTTTAAACCTTCTGGTTTTTTAGTTTCTGTTCTTTGATTAACTCTAGGCGATTTTCTTTTTAAAGGTAATTTAGGCTCATCGCAATGGACATCTGCTTTTTTGGATATTCTTTTACCACCGCAAGTGTCTTTTGTATGTTTAAGATTTTCATAAGACTTGGAAGCTTTTGTACTAATATTTTCATTTGACGTTGCATCACTATGTAATTCAAATTGGTTATTGACTTCTGTTTTTTTTAATTTATCTTGATGTTTTTGTGGTGTAGATGTACTAATTTTGTCCAATTCTAAATCTTGAATCTTGGTATTCACTTTTGGACTTATAGTTTTCCAAGTCTTTTCATTTTTTACTTGAACATCTTCCATATCAGCTTCAATTTTAATTCCAACTTCAATTTTATCTCTGTTTTGTTTGTCAGATTTTTTTGGCGATTTTTTCCCTATAGTACTTGCAGGGCAAATATCATTATTCAGGCATTCTCCACAATTAGGTTTTATTGGTTGACATATAGTTTGGCCAAATCCAACAAGTAGATGATTAACTTCACTCCATTGTTCAAAAGGCAACCAACTCTGTAGAGCTAGGCGAGTTTCCTCAGGAGTTTTAGTTGGTTTTTTGACCCATCCAATCCTATTGCATATCCTATGGACATGTGTGTCAACACCTAAAATAAAACATTTAAAAAATGGCTTGCATGTTTTCTTAACATTGTCAAATACCCACTTTAAGGTCATAGAGCCAATGCAGCCTTTTCTTAACATTGTGGCCAGAAAGGATCTTTAACTATACAATAAGTTGGCATAATAATATGCTAACAGGCCAAGAACTATAGTCAGTTAACTATCTCTTATGCATTTCATGATGAGACTTAAAACAGCACTTCTTGTCTCTATGTTTGAGAAAAATATTGTGTAATTACCGATTCCAGTGATCTTGTTCCAAGCAACCTTCATACAAATATGTGCCATTTTAGGACCAACACCATTCAGTTTGCACAACTTTTCGACTGAATCGGGGATGTCTCCATTGTACTGCTCTTTTAGAATTCCTGTTGTTTTTTTTATGTATTTTACTTTTGTCTAAAAAAAATATTGGTATTACCTTAATGCATTTATTTTAATTGGTATTATTATTCTATTCGTTGCAACATTTGAACATTGAGTTTGGCTATTAACAATTCATATAATTCAAATTGTAATTTGTTTTAAAGTATTACATAATATCCAACCATCTTTATGATAATATTTCTTTAATTAATTGATCTAAAAATTATGTCCAAGAGAAATAAAAAGATATGGAAATTAAAACCTATTAATTTATATTTATTTTAGATTAGATCATACTTGCCTTCCAAAATCCAACAGGATATATCAACTGACCTAGTTCTTCATCACTCATACTCAACACATTATCAACTGTAAGACCGCGAGCCCGAAGCCTCTGCATAGCAGCAAAGTTAACTTGGTCCTTGGTTTGGCTTGATAACATCAGAGAAACTAAGCATTGATATCTGTACACCTATTAAAAGTTTCAAAATATATAAATTTAGATGTGTGTGGTTGTGGATATTATTGCTCACACATTTTCATTAATAAGAATGTAATTAGCCTATATTTTTTTATGCTAGATTTACAGTTGTAGGAAAATGAAAAATAAAGTAACAAAAGCAATCAATCTCTTTGAAAATGAAACTAATGACCTCTGGTGGTACATTCTCATCCATATTCATATGACATCCCATTGTATCTACTGGAGCATCATTATTAGCTCTCATAATCTTCAGGTTCAAGAAAAACTGTCTCCAATTTGGTGGTTCCCATAAGCCTTCAGCTTCCTGAAAATATTGCTAATTTAATTCAATATTTTAATAGTTTTTATTTTTTTTATTGCCCTTGTAGGCAGACGTGCATACGGCCCACCTGATGGTGAGTGGTTACCGTCGCCCATGGACTTCAGCAATGCCAGGGGCAGAGCCAAGCCGCTGCCTACCCATATCTTCGATCCTTGACATCAGAATAGTTTCAGCTCATGCATGTATGTAATTTGTGCTATTCATAAAATACGTTACTTTTACGTCTTTTACACTTTTATTAATATCATAAATAACTAACTTGCTTGCTTGGAGATTCTTTTTCAAATTTAATTTTTACATGAGATTTTTTCTCGAATTTGAATTGGCTTAAATCAGGTACTGCTATGGCGGTCTCTGAGCCAATGTTGTTTTCTGTAACCTTGTTCCTGTTGTCCATATTCTGTTCTGTATCTGTTTGCTTTTCACGTATTTTCGTTGTTTCCTTTCTGGTATGAATATTTTTAATTTTATCTTTGAACATTGATAACAGTGATATTTTTCGGAGTTTATATGTGAGTGGCATCAAAATTAGCTTATTGTGCTTTAAGATTAATTAGGGAAGGAAATCAAAATTAAGTTATTAGCCACTATTAATGATATTATTATAATCACTAGCACATAGCTACAATTAATTCCCTATAAAATAACAATCTCAAAAATTAAAATGTCTAATCGGATCAATTCAAGTCATATATAGTAAACCTTTTAGAGTGCAGTAACCGGATTCCGGCATAGACCTATATAGTAGGGACCCGACATATTGTTCTATACGTACAATTGCTTATATAAATAGCACCCATTTTGAAGGCACACACATAAACATATATCTATCTCGTTCCTACTCAGCACTTTAACTCGCAGGAAAACAATATAACAGTATTTCAGTGCGTACATAAAATGAAACATGAATATACGTAAATGTCTCCGTCTCTGTCTAATGAGGCCGAAAATCCGCCATGTTTAGCGCGCCAAATGTCATTGTCACGTCAGTTCGGCCGTCTGTTTTGGGTTGTACATTATTTATTGACTTTGANACCACCGCCCCGCCTATTTCTGCCGTGAAGCAGTAATGCGTTTCGGTTTGAAGGGTGGTGCAGCCGTTGTGACTATACTGAGACCTTAGAACTATATCTCAAGGTGTGTGGCGCATTTACGTTGTAGATGTCTATGGGCTCCAGTAACCACTTAACATCAGGTGGGCTGTGAGCTCGTCCACACATCTAAGCAATAAAAAAAAAAAAAAAATGAAAGAATGAAATTAATTCAATCTAACTAATTCTTATTGGAATCATACGAGAGAAGAAAAAACCGTAAGTGTAGCATAAGATGAAATAAAATTACTAGTAAAAGGTGGAAATTTCTTGAGTGCAGTGGGCTAGTTCATTTTGGAAGAGCCTTTGTTTTACTTGCCTATATAGCCTTGTGCATTTTTACAGATACTAACTGGTTCATAATCGTTATAACAAATTAAGTCTAATGACTTAATTTTAAAGAAAAAATAAATTTAAACGACTTCCCTCCATGATTTCCGCAGAATGCTGAACCACAGATTACGGACAAGCAAAAAGGTCTTTTCGTTATATTTTCCTGCGTGTATCGGCTTCATGCAAAATACTGGTATTATTGGCAGCGTCCTTATCGAGTTACGATTTAATTAAAAAAACTACGAATAAGTTATCTGAGATAGTCATACCCATAGAGTTACTTGTGGGTATTTATTAATACCTATACTTAGCCAATACACTTAATAGGGAACGCGAGAAGTGACGTTGTGTGATTTTTTATAATTTGCCTATTTAGTATTTTTTTTCTTCCTACCTAAGTTGATGGTCTAGAGCAGTGATGGGCAAAGTACGGCCCGCGGGTCAGCTTCGGCCCGCGGAAGTATTTAATCCGGCCCGCCAAGAGTCCATCCATTCTAAATATTCTAGTCAGAATTTTGGCGCGTAAAATAACATCTGACGTTTATAATTTATAATCTTCGAATTTTTAATGAAAGCTCCATTTCGTCAGGGGTGTTTTGAGGTTTCATTATCTCATAATTAACTTGCCATCATTATAATTATTTCGGCAGTCTGTCACAGTATTTATTGGAAAAAAAAACATTCTTTTCACCTATCTATCATACACCTCACGTCTCACATGCTTAACAAGGCATAATGTAAAAGGTATTTTGTTTATTAAAACGCTTAATATAAAAAGTAATATAAAATTTAAAATAATTTTTTTCTTTAATTCTGGCCCTCCTCTAGAATTTCTTGAACTTTGTGGCCTGCCATTAAAAAATTGTTGCACACCACTGGTCTAGAGAAACCATATCAGCGTAACCTTACTAGTAGGTGACCTCACGAGGCTCAAACCTGACGATATTGCTAACACGAACCCTAGCAAGAGCCGTGCTTCGCAAAATCTACCACCAGATCGGAAAACGAGCCATTGAGAAGATCCGGCCAGAAATTTTTTTATTTTTTTATTGCCCTTTTAGGCAGACGAGCATACGGCCCACCTGCTGATAAGTGGTTACCGTCACCCATGGACTTCAGCAATGCTAGGGGCAGAGCCAAGCCGCTGCCTACTCAGTGAGCTGTGTCTGTGGGTTCATTTACTCGCCGAGCTCTACGTCGCCGACGGGTTCGGCGAGAACGATGACAGGATGGTTTAGTGTTCTTCAGGTTTAAATGTGTAATAGCGGGGGTTTATTGACTATTTAATATCTGTAAAAGTGCACAAATGGGGGAAAATGAAACAAAGCCACTGGACATAGCTTAACGCGATCCTCCACTGAAAAATCTAAGTTTATTTTACTGTCATCATCATCATCATCATCATCAGCCTTTATCTGCCAACTGCTGGACATAGGCCTGCCCCAATGCCTTCTACATAATGCGGTCCTCCACCTTCCGCATCCAACGACATCCTGCCGTGCGCACTAAGTCGTCGGTCCACCTGGTTGGAGGTCGCCCCACGCTCCTGGTACCCATCCGTGGCCTCCATTCGAGGACTTTCCTGTGATTTTATTTAATCCCATATTATCTCATCCCATTTCATTTAATTTCATTCCAGTTGATTAATGTTTCAAATTAATCATCTTCATTTCCTTTAACTCCATATTATCATTTTTCATAAAAATAAGAATATAAATAAAATAAGACATGACCTAAAAGTCTTAGTTACCAGGTCATAAAATCTCTTAAAAAAATGCACTAGAGTTAAACCAAGTTAAACTCTTGTCGTTTCAATTAATATTTTGGCTAATAAATTCATATATTAAAAAATAAAATCAATTACTTACGACATAAGTGAAATATAGAATCTGCTAAGCCAAATGCCCGAGTTACTTTTAGATCCAAATATCCGATTTTGGGTGTTTCTACCCATTGTCATAATTACATTTTTGGTTGGAATTGTGAGACATTATGTATCACTTATACTGTCCTCTCAAAAAAAGATTGAACTTATTCAGGTTCAAGATAGGTAAGTAATAACATGAATTGCAAAAAACTTATCGCGTTAATTTTCAAAATTGTAGTGTAGTAGAAAGAACTGAAACCATACAGAGCAGTAAGCACTTTGAGCTTATCAAACTGGGTTCACACTGATAGAAATTTGTACATCTCATTCAGTAATTTAAGAGCTGGTATTTTGGTTTAATTATTATTAAGATTAAATATTTTGTTTCTCATACATTTTGTTAAATTTTCTAGTGTATTTTAATGTATTTTTAGTCAAGTAATGATACGTGCGAGGTTGCTTCGAGAGAATGGGAAGTATCTACCTAGGCAGTCATTTGCTATGCGTCGCCACTGGTTTAACAATGAAGAAACAGGCTATTTCAAAGTACAGAAAAGAGCTGCTGCTTCACAGGTGAAATAGGAGTAGAACTATTATTATTTTATAAGTTCCTTTCAAAGTATGTTCTCAGTAAAAACAAGAATATACAACATCTCACACCTAAAAAGCTAACATCCTTAAGCCCATTTAAGTTACAAAAAAAAGTGCTATGTGATACTATCGGATTTGGTATGTCTATATTCCTTGCTTGTAATTGACACTACTGAGGAAAGAATGAAAGGAATCTACACATATTTTCACTGGTGGTAGGACCTCTTGTGAGTCCGCACGGGTAGGTACCACCACCCCGCCTATTTCTGCCGTGAAGCAGTAATGCGTTTCGGTTTGAAGGGTGGGGTAGCCGTTGTAACTATACTGAGATCTTAGAACTTATATCTCAAGGTGGGTGGCGCATTTACATTGTAGATGTCTATGGGCTTCAGTAACCACTTAATACCAGGTGGGCTGTGAGCTCGTCCAACAACATAAGCAATAAAAAAAAAAAAACGTAGTATAATTGAAACACAATGTTCTGTACAATTCAGTGAATTGTGTATCATTACACATAGAAGACATGAAGAGGGAAGGCATGTGAATCACATTATTATTATTTTATTACCCTTGTAAGCAGACGAGCATACGGCCACATGATGGTGAGTGGTTTCCGTCACCCATGGACTTAAGCAATGCCAGGGGCAGAGCTAAGCCGCTGCCTACCGTAAATGAGTAGAGTGTATTTTATTGCACACCAAAACAAAGTTTAATCTCGGTTATGAGTCCACCACTAGGTATAATGGTGGCCTCATATTCATACTGATATATCAATGGCCTGTCCCACTAGATACAATCTCTTCCAGACAACCATTTACAGATAGAGTAATTCTGAAAAACATATGGCAGGCTTATTGTGGTGCAACATGTTGAATACTATTTTAATTAGTCTATCAATATAGAAATGATGTATTTACAAAAATAATTATGAATAGGCCATAGAGCTTTAAACCTGCTGTCCCGTTATGGTCTCTAATTTCTGAAAATTAGAATAATTTATTCTAGTGGAAACATTTTACTTACAGAATCCTATGACAGATCCAGGCATGATGACTGACATGTTGAAAGGTAATCTGACAAATGTCTTGCCTATGATTGTCATCGGAGGATGGATTAACTGGATGTTCAGTGGTTTTCTTACAAGTAAGTTAAAATACATTAACATTTGAGCTAGATACATTATAGAGGAAATAGCCCTTAATGATTTAACAATTGAATACTGAATTAAATCAGTGCTCATTTTTAGTTTAAGTTTGTCTATACTATTCAGTCAAATTCAAGCTTATTGAAAAGGGAATTCCAAACAAAGCATACAAAGCAAATACTAATGATAAGTAATATTGTGTCATAATTTTAGTCCATTTTTGTTATTCTTTAGATTGAAAAATTAATTCACTGCTCTTCTATTGTGTGTTATTGACTGGAGTCTAGATGTCATAGTGTCATCACCCATCAAGAAATATGTGGTGAACGCCTCAGTAGCTTTATGCAATGACGGCCCAGACCTTCAACCTATGGCTGCTTTGTGTCAGAAATAGGATAGACCTATCCGCCATATGGGCATACAATATGCCTTTCTATCACTGTAAAAAAAGCATATCGATCGAATTGAAAGGCAAACGTGACTAAGCCACAATGCATGAACTTTACAGTAGACTAATTTAAAGTTGAAATACCTGAAAACTAAATTTATTTTAATGAATTCAGCTGTAGTAGAATCTAGTTAGTAGCTGTAGGATTGAAATGATTTTAATAGACCTAGAAATATATATTTTTTGTGCATCGAATATGGTTATTGCCTATCATTTATGTACAAAGCAGTTATTGTCGCTTAGTCACGTTTGCCTTTCGAGCGTCGATATTGTTATGTCTTGTCTATGATATTATATAGTTCTTTACAAAAATTTTCTAAATCGATTGACACCTCACTCTCGCATTAGAATAATATACTTACAGTTATTCAATATACATATACAATAAAATAGTGCTAAACTGAGAATTTACGATTCTGTTATGACAATTTGAAAAATGTTCTTGAAATTTGCAACATTGTTACAGCCAAAGTACCTTTTCCGCTGACTCTGCGATTCAAGCCGATGCTTCAGCGCGGCGTTGAGCTAGCGTATCTGGATGCTTCATGGGTGTCATCAGCTTCATGGTATTTCCTCAATGTATTCGGTTTGAGGACAATATATGCACTTGTACTGGGAGAAAATAATGGTAAAAATTATTTAGATACTGTGAAATATATTTAGCATATTCATTATAAGATATTACTGTGCAGTTTAAAGGAGTACTAAACTTAAACAAGAGAGTACCTACACAGAGAGCACAGCTCATAGTTGTTACATAGTTGTCACATGCTGGGAAACAGTTTTACAAGAAAAGGTGAATTACCTTTATTCTTTTTGTAAACTGTTTTTTTAATTGTTTTTATTTAGTACTAGCTGACCCGGCAGACTTCGTAGTGCCTCAATTGATAAATAAAAGACCTAAACTTTTGTATAATAAAATCAACTTAAAACAAACAAAAGGAATCCGTCCGACGGGGACACATCAAAGGAAAAGCAAAATTGTTATTTTTATTAAATTCCGAGCATTTTCATATTTATCGACCTTTTAAACCTTCCCTGGACTTCCACAAATAATTCAAGACCAACATTATCCAAATCGGTCCAGCCGTTCTCGAGTTTTAGCAAGACTAACGAACGGCAATTCATTTTTATTATATAAGATTTCTTGATGACCTGATCTTGATGAGTTCGTTTTTTACATCTTACTCACAAACAAAAGATAACAGAACGAATCTAAATCTTAAGACGTCAGTAATTATGATCGAATTTCGATCACGGGACCGAAAATCGTTTATATTAAAATGTTATAGGATTTAAAGTTTTCAAACTTGGAATTAAGGATTATATTTCTCTTACAGCTGCCGACCAGTCGAAAATAATGCAAGAGCAGATGTCTGGAGCGGCAATGGCGATGCCTCCCGACCCCAAGGCTGCCTTCAAGGCCGAGTGGGAGGCTCTGGAGATCACCGAACATAAGTGGGCGCTCGCCAATGTCGAAGCAGATTTATTACAAAGCAATACGGAGTGATCCTAGTTTATTTATAGACTACTCTATCAGATTCAATGGTGGTTACCAATAACATTTGTAATCGTATTCAAAACATTGTTTTTTCTTTATGAATGGATAGTGACA